ATTATTATTATTATTATTATTATTATTATTATTCCTGGAAAAGCATAATAGGAACAGATAGAACCTCAACTCATCAATTACAAAAAGTTGTATTACTTAGAATGGCACATATATCATGGTATCTTTAATTATCCTAGATCCTTGGGAAGGATTCGACAGTCCTATAGTCAAAAGTAGCAAATCCAATAACTATCTGGTAGACTGTGTGTAAAGAACAATAGTAAATTAAATCACATTTATTTTTTTGCCCTGGCCCTCTACTTTTCTGAAGTCTAGCGAAGTTGCAAATCATGCTATAAATCCTACAAAGCTCCTATAACCATTGTCTCCACTGTGGCACCCTGTGGCACCCAGTGGCCACCCAGTGCCATTCCTAGGCCCAGCAACACCTCCTTTGGTCCCTACCAAATTCCATGACCTTTCTGATTTTATTTAAGATTCTTTAATGTAATATATTAAATGGGAAGTCACAATCCTGCAAAGTGTTAGTTTTAAGTATAACTTAAGCATCGTGTTTCCAAAATGTGTTACATGAATGTTACATAGGCTGTAGAAGTAGAATTAGAAAATAAAAACAATAGCTTTGGTGAGAAGGGTAACCATGCACCCAGAAAAGAAAGGCAAAAGTAGGCTAAGGGATTAGGGAGCAATCTCAGAAGTTAGTGGGGATGATGTAGAGCAGTGTTTCTCAAATTTAGCAACTTTAAGATGTGTGGACCTCAACTCCCAGAATTCCCTAGCCAGCATGGCTGGCTGGGGAATTCTGGGAGTTGAAGTCCACAAAGTTGCCAAGTTTGAGAAACACTGATGTAGAGCAACCTTACCAATCTAGATGTTTTGTTAGCACCATGCCCACAATGACAGCAATTGAGGGCCAGTGGCCATGTCATGTTCTCAGAATTCCCATTCAATGTGGTCACTCAGCCCAGAAAGGTTGGGGACCTCTCCCCTATAAAGATGAAAACGATCATCTTCAGATGGCAAGGGTTACCAACCTTGTAATTAATAATTTAAAAATGAATCTATCTTGATAGGATTTGGAGGAAGAGTGTGTTATGTATATGAAGAAAGGACAGTAGGCAGACTTAATATAGAGGCCACTGGTTTTATCAGTAAAATGTGCCTGTTTTCCCACTTGATATATCAAATACACACACAAATAGAGCTGTGTATTTACTGTAATAAAAATAGCTCCAAAGCAAGAATGAAACAAAACCTATACAAACAGTCTCTTTTTTTATCATTACACACCTTGGATAAAAGATAGAGGGGAGGGCTCTGTGATTCCTGGAAAAGGCATGGCTACTTTACAGTTTTCCACCAGATGTTATGTGGCTTCTCATGCTCCAAATCATATTTTGCCCTTCAAATCCAGTATCCTGCACAATCCAACTGCTTACCACTTCCATGAACTATAAAATAGTTAACGGACTTGAAAAACTGGTCCTAACAGTTTAGTTACTGTCCAGTGAGCTATCAACTCCTTTCACATATAAGGTAAAATGCCATATACATACTTAAAAGTCTGCCTAAAAAGCAACAGGACTTACATATGAAGATTGGGAGAGGATGAAAATAAGATTATCCCCGCCACCCCTGCTGTAAGCTCTAGAACAGAAACTATTTGATCCAATTACCCCTTTTCCCAGTCTCGAATAATGTCATTAACCCCCCCCCCCGACTGTAGTTTTACGCAAGTGTCTCAGCAGCGGCTGTCCCACACTGGATCTTCAACTCACAAACAAGCAATTACAAATTGTCCCAGGATATGCCCAAATTACCGCCCCCCCCCTTTGTAATTATCCCCAGCTTAAGAACCCCTGTTCTAGAGAAAGCCAGATCCAAACAGGCAAGGAAGAAAAAAGAAAGCATACATATTTTTGGAAAGCAAACTGTTAAAAAGAAAAGCCAGTTCTGCTTCGTAGCTGTCCGCGTGCTGCCAACTCACCTGTGCGGAATGGGTGAAAACGGAACCTGGGCGGAAGCGCTGCGCTCCTCTTGGATTCCACTTGCTTGCCCACACTAGAAAGCTGGATCTGCACTGTTCAAAGGCAAGCTAAGCATGAGTGGTTGATAAGGGGATAAATGAAGGCATGGATACATCCTCACTGGGAGCAGAGCGAGAGGAACTGTTGGAATAAAACTGAGTGCCTCCTGGGTGGAACCAGGCGCTACCAAAAGTCCAAGTCTGAAGGTGGGTGTGTCTAAACATCACATGGAGGAGGAGGAGGAGGAGAGCCAGGTAATGGAAGGAGGGGAACTCCCAGTCCAGCCAGCAGCATTCCTGGGTGTGCCTCTTCTACGCAAATGTCCAGCAGTCAGTTTCACGGAAGGTATTGCTTCACCCCATCCACAGAGAGAGCTCCTGGGTGCTTCAAGGCATTCTCTTCCTCCTTAGTACTTCACACCAGTCCTTTAAAAACTGGTTGCAGCGTTCAAGCCTGGAGTGGTCTAGCTCCAGTGATCCTAATCCACTGATTTTCTGGTGCCCTGGTTCGATGTCTGCGTTTGCAATCATAAGTACAGTTAAATGAGAACCATACTTAAGTGATAAATATACATTAATTAATTGCTCATTCTAAGAGGTACAGCAGGGATACTGCTAGACTGGAGTTGAGAGTTTGTAGCATCCAATGTCAGTGTGGAAAAGTTTAATAGGAGAGAAATTAGGAGAGACTGTTAGTGATCCAGAAATTGGAAACAATACTGAACTCTGAGAAAGCAGACATTCCTAAGACTGTTTGGGTTTGTGGGTGAATCTTCTGTTCTTTCAAAGGTTTATCAAATGATCTAATAAAACTGTAGTTGCTGGATGCAGTGTTTCCTTGATAGCCTTATGCAGACAGCCACAAGGATGTGAAAATAGGATTGAGAGAGCCAACTTATTGGTTTACAGTTCATGCTAAGCCATTATATGTGTTTTGTTCAGTTCTGGCTCAGTGTGTTGTGAGAACTCAGGGGCTGCAGTTTGTAAACAAGGTTTATGGTTATAGTTAATGGCCATTCCGCTTGGAAAAGCCTTCCACATTTGAAGCTGCCAAGTTGGAGAAGATGTATTGTATGTACCCAGTCAATTGTTACTATGTCAGCCACGTTTAAATAAATGCACAGTCTCAGCCACTCATTCCTGACTTCATCTGTTAATCTGATCTTTTGAATCAAGCCTGTGTGTATGCAGAACGTATTTTTTTCATAAACTTTGCACACCTGTAGTTTTAAACAGAAAATCAGATGTACAATAACAACAAATACAGCAAGTCCCATCCCAGTCCTGCTCCCCCAAGTCCATTAGTCATCTGAATAGGGGTTACCCTTGTAATTCTATATCCACTTTACATGGGGAATAAGACCTCTTGATTTTTATTAAAAAGTAGACATGGACAGTGTTGGGCTGCTAACTCTTCAAGTTTAAACCACCAGTTATAGTTATTAGTTTTTCTATACTCATGTTGTTCCAAGCTTTTTTGGTGTGTCCTCTATCCCAAAAAGGCAAAATGAAACTTTTTAGCCCTTCTTTTGAATATACTGTATTCTATTATAGATCTATCACTTTGAAAATAGTTAATTTAGTCAACAAAGGGAATATGCTTAAGGAAGTTTGCTTTCATTGTTGTTATGTGACATTTAGAACAATATCTATCCATAGGTCAAATTAACATTATATATTGAAGTTAGAAATATTTAAGCAGTATGAAGGAGAAGTTGTGGCCATATGACTAGGAAAAGCCCCTTTCTTGTCATAATGACAGATTTTCTTACTCATCGCTCACCAGTCCTTCCTAGCCAGCTGCGTGTGAAGAAACACAATCTCATGTAAAAAGTTGTATCAGGCACATTTCCTCATTTTTGTGTCACTAAAACCAAATGTTACTCTTTAATTTCCTGTACAATGGATCTGCTAAGCAAGACTGAAACATCTCTTGTCCTTACAAACTTCTGTTTTGCTTTGGGTGATGTCCTTCCCGCTCCACCTTATTTCAGTGTCATAACCATTCCATGACCACAGAGATTTGAACCTCTGACCTCTCTAAACCCTTTGCCTTGTTCCACTTTCCAGGCCTGGCTTATAACCCTGGTAGCATGTTTGAGGAGTCTGTGCCCTGACTTTGCATATCTTTTCTGTAGGGCATCTCCACATGTGCATTCCTTGACAACAGTTCTAGACTTCGGTGACCTCATGATAGGAGGGCTATGCAAAAGCAGGATCACTTTATTTCTGGCCTGTGTTAAATGTAAAACCTCAGCAAAGCCATTATTTTATTTTGTGGTGCTTACATTCTGAACTTGTGGGTGGACAAGCTTCCTTTTTGGCAAGCACTCTTGCCCTCACCTTGCTGCCCCTTGAGTTTGGGAGCTGAAGGCAACCCCATCTCCAAGTCTCAGGTTAGAATAGCATTTTACCCATGAAAGAGAAAGGGAACACAAACACAGCTCTGGTCAACCTTCCCCTGGCTTCCTTTGCTGAACCACTATTACTGTATTTATGTATTTATTTAGAACATTTATATGGCTGTCCATCTCAAACAACATGACTCTAGGCGGAGTACAAATAATTAATCAAAAATACAAAAGAAAAATAACTCATACCACTAAAGCAAGCAAAAACAATTAGATGCCAATCAGAACTAAAATATACTATATCTTACCAATTAGGAACTCTACACATCCCGCCTCAAGCTCCTGGGGAAAGATCCTTTCTTAAGCGCCTTTCTGAAAGCCTGCTGTGTACCCAAGAAAAATGGCAAGGATCTGCAAACTAGCAAAGCAACTTGGATCCATCTCTGCTGTGTTCTTCTGTCCTATAGCAACAAACAGTTACGGGAAGAGGTACCATGAACAACACTTGGTTGCAAAAGTGCCAAGATGGTATTAAAGACAAATACAAGGAATGGGTTCATAGCTACCATTCAGATGTTTTTGCAAAGGGGCAGAGCAAGGCACAGGTCCAGAAAATGCAGAGAGAGGTCACTAGCAATTTGTTTTATTTCCTTGCAGTAGCATGGGGTGGGGGGAATTTTTCCTTTTCTAAGAGCTGTGGTAGCTCAGCAGGTATGGCATCAATTGAATGTATTTTTTACACTCCACTGTTCTCTGGCTGTTCACAGCATTTCAAGGTTGGCAGCAATGAAGACTATCAGAGTTGGCTTCAAACTCTTTTTAAAGGAGAGGGGTAAAAATAGTGGTGGCATGGAAATCTTTAGAGTTGGCTAGTTTGTGGCTTGTTGTATTGGACAAATCCAACAAATGTGGTTAGGTTATGTTGCAATGTGTTTTGCAAACCCAGGCAATTGGGTTAATTCATTAAACTACTACATGCCCACAGCCCTGGTGTTTCCAGTCTAGTTCGGTCCTTTATCACAAGATCAGTACCATAATGGTATACAGATCAGTTTCCTGAAAGACAGGTTGCTCCGTACTTCTAATCTTAATGTGCAACCACAGGAAAGTATTGGGTATATTTATTGCACAAAATTCCAACAGGGCAGGGTGAACCCAACAAACCTGACAACCACTTGCCCTGTGTGTAAATCAAGAGCATGCTCTGGAAAATACTACGGTCTGTCAGCCTTCTCCAATCTGGGGCTGTCTTGTGGAATTAGAACTACAACTCCCAGAATTCCAAGCCAGCATGGTGAGAATCAATCCCAGCCTACCTACACCACAGTAGTTTCAGCCAAACTGCTCCATGCACAGGGAATTTAGGATGGAGACTGGGTTGATTGAGTCATTACGGAAAGCAATCCATGAATGTAGAAATTTGTAAACAACTCAGTCGGATTCTAATGATATCGATCAGGATGTACATTTTTCTCTGGGGCCTTTCCTTATTTGCCCCTAACCTCAGTTTGAACATCTGTTTTCTGCCGTATCTGCATGACATCTTAATCTTGTTCCAAGCCCGTGAAAGTTGTATCTCCCTTCTTATTCCAACACTGCCCAAGGGCAGCTCCAAGGGGTGCAAAATCTGTTAGGCTTTGTCTCCCATCACCTTTGGAGGAATGGAGGAACTACAATGACTTCAAACAGAGGTAAAGGAGGCAGGAGAGGGTTCAGAATTAAAGCTGGTTTTCTGTCAAGTCAAGGAGGGCTGGATAATGTCACCCAAGCAATGGGGTGAGGATTTGCATGATACTTTCAGTGTGTCATTCCCCATTATTCCAGTGCCACAGCCAGATGACTCTTGTTTTCTGAGTCTTGAGTGGGTGGATAGGAAGTAAACCTCTTGGACGGCATCAAAGCCATCTTAGCAAAGGCTGGCATGTATATGTGTGTGTGTGTGTGTGTGTGTGTGTATGTGTATATCTCAGATTAACCGTTTTTAACCATTTGAAAAATAAAATAAAAATCCATAGTGGCCTAATTGTGGCCAGAACCCTTACGGGTTGGAAGGAGTATTTTGTGAAAATAAAGGGAAAACAGAGATAGCCAGCTAGAAGAATTTCATTTAACAGATGCTCTAAACTTCCATTGCTGTGTCAGAGAACCAAAGGGAGAGTAAACTTAAAGTAGCATTCTTTCTTTTTGGATGAAATAGGAAGACCAAATTAAGCTACGGTACCGAACAATTAATCTTGGGTTCAAGGGCAATACAACAGTTTCCCTTACAACTGAAAAATGGCTGGGTTTGGAGATTTGGGTGATATGCTGGGGTCACCACTGATTAGGTTAAGCATGTTGTGCAAATTTGGCCTTAAAAATTAAAATGGTGAGTGACTACTGCTCAGGGTTTTCTCGGAATTGTGTTCACCTGTTCAAAAAGAAGAAGGAAAAAGCTAAGTTGAATTAGCAGAGAGTATCTCGAAGTCTAGAACAATGGTGGGGCAGATCTTCACCACTTTACATTGTGGTTAAGTGCACATGGGGAAAGGCCCTATGAATAGCTAAGAGACCTGTGGAGGCTAGGAGCATTCTTGTAAATAAAGTTGATTCTAGAGATGGTACTAAACTAGGCATCATGCCAGTTTCCTATTGGCTTATTTTTATTAAAAGAATCTGAAAAATAACTAAGGTCATCTGGGGTCAGGAACCTGATGATTAGCTAGTGGAAGTACCTGCCAGCATATGGATGCCAGGTACCGTATCCCACATGAGTCAACCAACAGAGTCGAGAGAGTTAACAAGGTGTACCTTATTACATGAGAAAGAGTGGTGATCATCAAGCACTTCCCTAGAAAGGGAAAAGGCACTTGGAT